ATGTTAGACACAAGTTAGTTATTACTCACATATCAAAGTCTTTTCATCTGCATGATGGAAGAATAGCTGGGTGCTGCCTGGAGAGACTGATGAGGGACACAGGCTGGCGTCAGCAGCTTTCCACACAAAGCCATCACATCTTCTCTTCCATAGTCCTCACTGTCCACTGGTGCTCTGTCAAAAGAGTGAACATCACAGCTGTCATGTTAACACTTTGTTACACAACCAACATGTGTCAAAAGTGACCCAAATTAGTTTTAATTGTAAATATCTTTTCAATAAATTACTTTAACCATTCAGGATTCCAGGTATTTCTCAATTAACCTGTTTTGGATCAACACCAATTCTTATTTTTCCCTTTCTTACTTTTTGAATAAAAATCATGTTTTTATCACTACACTTCTAAGGCACAACATGGGTCAAACATTACCTGTATTATTTTGCTATGTTATTTCATGCATGGCTGAGTGTTTCTTTACTATACATTTTCAAGAATAATTAATTTTAGCAGTGATTTGGACCAAGCATGTATGATGTAGTAATACAAAAAGTATTTTAGTTCATACAGTATGACATTAACTAACATCTCTTTTAACCGCCTTTGCTTTCTCACTGTCTCCATCCCCACCAACTCATAAAGCTGGCAATGTCCTTGATCTCATATTCTCAAGGAACTGCTCTACTTCTAACCTCTCTGTAAACCCGCTCCACACATCCGATCACTTCTTCATTTCATTCTCTCTACCCCTTTCCAAACATAACAAACTAATCTCTTCTCATCCTGCACCTGTCCGCCGTAACCTTCGTTCTCTCTCCCCCTCTACCCTTGCCTCATCGGTTATCTCAGCCCTCCCTTCCTCTGACTCGTTCCAACTCCTGCCTCCAAACTCTGCTGCAGAAACTCTCCTCTCTACTCTCTTATCCTCTCTGGACTCTCTCTGTCCTCTCACATCTCGGCAGGCTCGTCAGTCCCCTCCTGCTCCCTGGCTAAATGACGCACTGCGTGCTAATAGAAACGTCCTTCGGGCAGCAGAGCGGAAACGGTGGAAATCCAAACACCATGACGACCTCCTAACCTATCAGGCTCTCCTCTCCTCTTTCTCTGCTTCGATCTCTCAGGCAAAAAGCACTTTATTTCAAGATAAGATCCAATCTTCCTATTCCAATCCCAAAAAAACTATTTTCCATCTTCTCCAACCTCTTGGACCCTCCCAAAGCCCCTTCCCCCTCCTCCCTTCTGTCAAGCGACTTTGTTAACCACTTTGAAAAAAAGGTTGATATATATTCGCTCTACTTTTTCTGACTCACCTTTACTCACCGCTGGGTCATCAGACCCACCTTTCACCCACACACTAACCTCCTTTTCCCCTCTCTCTCCAAGTGAGGTTCTTACCCTCATGACCTCTGCCCGCCCTACCACCTGTCCTCTGGACCCTATCCCCTCAAACCTCCTTCAGACTATCGCTCCTGATATTCTACCGTTTCTCACCCATTTCATCAACACTTCTCTAACTTCTGGTCACTTTCCAAACAGTCTCAAGGAGGCAAGAGTAAATCCTCTCCTAAAGAAACCCAGTCTCAACCCGTCTGATGTTATAAACTACAGGCCTGTCTCTCTCCTCCCGTTCCTGTCTAAAACACTTGAACGCGCTGTCTTTAAACAACTCTCCTGTTATCTCCATCAGAACAACCTTCTGGATCCGCACCAGTCTGGTTTCAAGGCAGGTCACTCCACAGAAACTTCCCTCCTTGCTGTCACTGAGGAACTGCACATGGCTAAAGCAGCCTCCCTCTCCTCTGTCATCATCCTTTTGGACCTGTCTGCTGCATTCGACACGGTGAATCATCAGATCCTCCTTCGCACTCTCCAAGAACTTGGAGTTTCAGGCTCTGCACTTTCCCTCATCACCTCATACCTCAAAGACCGCACCTACAGGGTTACTTGGAGAGGGTCGGAGTCCGACCCTTGTCAATTAACTACAGGGGTCCCTCAGGGCTCTGTTCTTGGTCCCCTCCTCTTCTCCTTGTACACAAACTCGCTCGGATCAGTCATTAGCCCGCATGGTTTTTCATACCACTGCTACGCTGACGACACCCAATTAATTCTGTCCTTTCCCCGCTCAGAGACCCAGGTCGTCACACGCATCTCTGCTTGTCTGACATCTCTCAGTGGATGTCTGCTCACCACCTCAAGCTCAACCTTGACAAGACTGAACTGCTTTTCCTTCCGGGAAAAGATTGTCCCACTTTTGACCAGACAATCAACATCGGCACCTCTATTATTTCCCCGACTCAGACTGCAAGGAATCTGGGTGTGATCCTAGATAACAACCTGTCCTTCACTGCAAACATCGCTGCTACAACCCGCTGCTGCAGATACACGCTTTACAACATCAGGAAGATACGTCCCCAGCTGACCCAGAAAGCGACGCAGGTTCTGGTCCAGGCTCTCGTCATCTCACGCCTAGACTACTGCAACTCCCTCCTGGCTGGTCTACCTGCATGTGCCATCCGACCTCTGCAGCTCATCCAGAATGCAGCTGCTCGTCTGGTCTTCAACCTTCCTAAATTCTCCCACACCACGCCGCTCCTCCGCTCCCTTCACTGGCTTCTGGTAACTGCTAGAATCCACTTCAAGACAATGGTACTTGCGTACTATGCTGCGAATGGATCTGGCCCTTCCTACATCCAGGACATGGTTAAACCGTACACCCCAGCACGTGCACTCCGCTCTGCATCAGCCAAACGACTCGCAGCACCCTCGCTGCGAGGGGGACCCAAGTTCCCATCAGCAAAAACACGTGGGTTTGCTATCCTGGCTCCAAAATGGTGGAATGAGCTCCCCATTGACATCAGGATAGCAGAAAGCGTACACACCTTCCGGCGCAGACTGAAAACTCATCTCTTTCGACTCCACTTCGAGCGATAGAACTATTAACAAAGCACTTATTGTAAGGATGTGCAGTTTTCCCTCCTTCTGCTTCTCTTTTTGTTTCATGTTTGTTTGTATCTGTCTGTCTTCCTGGCTGGGCGTGGCTGACCTATTTTCAGTTCCCGTCAATTCACCTCCGCAGCTGCTACTCATCTTCCTGATTCATCTACTCACCCACACCTGCTTATATACCCGGCTTCCTCATCCAGTATTCACCAGTTCGTCGTCAAAGATACACTGGTAACACGTATTGATTGCTAGAAAGCTAACCTAGTTTCCAAGTCAAAGTTATGTTCTTAAACCTGTATTTCTCTGCCCAGAATCCGTACTCTGCCTGCCACGTCCAGCCAACACCACCTCGTCAGCGAACCTCAGATTATCTTCACTACCAGCTCCAGCCTGCTCACTCTATTCAACTCTGATTCCCTGGCTCATCTCACCCGTGTTCCGCTGCGAATCTCCGAACCCCGGCTTCAGCCTGCTCCCTCCGACATCCTCCGGATCTTCAACTACGGACCTCCACTCTCCCCCCCGTAGTTATTCCCAGATCCGGATTATTAATTCCACATCAGTATTGTTTGAATTTTGAGTTGGAAATTAAATTATTTTTGCTTCCATACTCACGTCTCCTCCCTTCCGTGTTTGTATTGAGGGTTCAGCCTGTAAGCGCTCTTTGAGCTTAACACTTATATACTAATAAAGGACTGGCTTATCTAAAGCCAGTTGAGTAGCACTTTAAATGATTTTGCTCTATGAAACCTGATGTATTTATATGATTCTGTTTTCTTCAAGTTTGTATTTTGTTGGTCGAACGCACTTATTGTAAGTCGCTTTGGATAAAAGCGTCAGCTAAATACAATGTAATGTAATGTAATTAGCTAGTCATGTTAGCTTGTAATATATAGAGCAGAGCTAACTAGCAAGTTAGCCGAACATTAGCGGTTAGCTGTTTATGCTATGCTAGCTGTTGGCTACTGAACATTAACAAACTAGATTCCGCTGTAAGAAAGCTGTGGAACTTTACATTAAACTTGGCGACAACACTGTGACACCCCGCTGCATGCAATTCTCCCGTGTTGGAGATGAGAGGGTGGGGGTAGCACTGCAATAAGCTGTAAGCTAACGTTAGCAGCCACATGTTAAGCCGGGTTTCCCGGGCGCACCAACATCTTGCAAGAAACAGCATCTCAGGGCTTCTTAACATTTAACAACCTATTAATGATGCATCCCAACTTAACGGGAAGAAACTCAGCTAACTAGAAGAATAAACGTAACCTTAAATAAAAAATAAAACATTCACAAACTAAACATTGGCGAACCGTCAGGGCCTTCAAGGTATTCAGAGAATATCCTGGAACACTCAGATAAAATAAACAAAAATCGATTTAATTATATAAATAAAATGTATATAAATGTATATAAAATGAATAAATGAGAACCGTATCTGTGTTGTTGATCTGTAATATTACAGTGTTACGTTGATTTGCTTGTCCTTCTCGGACCATGCACTACGCATTTCAGTAGTTTTGTGTTAGAAAAGAAAGCAACCAATCTTGTTCTGGGTCTCTGGGTAGAATATCCTTCACCAAGGTATTCTACATCCTTGATAGAATGCCCTGGCTGTTGCACTGAATGAGAGCGTACGTTTGGACTGACAGTTTGATTAACCAATCAGATATTGATTTGTAGCCAATGGGCGTATTCTTTCAGAGTTTCCCTCAGTTCCAGGGTATTCTAGAAGGCCCGCTAGTTAACTGTCTCGAGACAGAGGACCTAGATGAATGCGACGAAGCAATTCATGCCGTTTTATTGTTTTTAACGTTGAAATGACAAGTGCAACAGGTGAAGATGAAGTTGTTGCGGAATTGTTGTGAGTACCCTTTTCAAGATGACAATTCAGTGAAAAGACAGACATTATAATGTAGCTCCAGCAGGAGGAGACACGCTCAAACTGACGTGGATGTTTCAAATGTGAACAACAGGCGCGGACAGTTCTCATTGGCAGGTTTCTTCGATTATGTATCATTAACCAATCAGGAGTGTTGTGGACTCATTCCAAACACACTCAAAAAAACGATTCAAGCCCTTCTTAGACTTGACACATTAATAATTGTTTCACTTTACTTAAATATTTTTATTTAAGAAATAAACCTAAGTATAGTTCATTAGTGTAACACAAATTACATTAATCAATTCACTTATTAAATGTATTTAAGACAGAGCAACTCAAAATGAATTGTTTTCATTTGGGACCGCCCCTTTGCACATCACCTTTGCGCATGCACAAGATCCGTTCTGTCATTTGCCGCCTTTTGTCTAACACTGACTGGAAACTGACTGGGGAAACTGACGGTGGAAAGTCTATTATTTGGTAAGTATTTGTTTTTTCTAGTAGTTTAGAATGTTCCCTGTTTCCAAGTAGGCCTAATGCCTTTTCATTATATCGACAAGAATATTTGAAACCACCGTGTTATATTTTGCTCCGTTTTTAGTTGGGTCTAAACAGCAAGCTAGCTAGCTTGCTAGATATGGTTAGCATTGAATACTGGATAGTAGAGATCATTAGATTATATTAAATTAGATGTCACGTTATTGTCATTGAACACAGTACACCGAAATTCAGTTTAAATTCAACCAAAAAATGCAAAGAGTAATTCAAGTGCACGAGGTAAAGCAGCAAGCTAGCTAGCTGGATAACTGGTTTGTTAGCTAGCTTGCTAGATACGGTTAGCATTGAATACTGGATAATGGAGATCATTAGATTATATTACATTCGATTTAACGTTATTGTCATTGAACACATTGCCTGTTGATGTCCTTAATGAGGGAGTCGTGTCTACACTGAAACAAAGTTTCCCAGATGTGACTGAGGTTCATATGGCAAACAATGTGTCTAGCTTGGGTATACGTTACTGCGAGGGGATGATTATTGTACACGGATCTGCAGATGGACTGCCTAAATTCCATGAGATCATTAAACTTTGCATTGTTAAGGAGAAGTTGTGTTTTCTGGTAAAAGACGCATGTGCTTGGTACAGAGAGCATTATGGTGCTTTTGAGCTGTCTGCCTCGCCCAATACAGAGGTTGCCGTTATTGAGCTTGCTGACTTGGTAGACCCCTATCCCCTTGTTGACTACATGGTTGGGAGTTTGCGCATGGTAATGTTGAAAAGATTCATCATTGTTAAAGGTGAGTATCATTTTTAAACCTAAATAGTCTGAGCTCTGGATAGCAGGCTCTGACAAAAACTGTAAAACCATTTTTATGTTCATCTTTGATATAATCCTAATGTGTTTCTTTCACCTTGTTTCTGCTCTAGATTAAAAGGTGTTCCATAATGGCAGGTCGGGCGCTTCTGCGCATCATCTTTGCCGACCAGTCTGACTCTAGAAAACTGACCCTGGATTCGGGAATCCCAGCAACAGTTGAAGAACTGCACACATTTGTCAAGACATCTCTTCAATTGAAAGAGGACTTCCGTCTGCAATACATGGATGTTGACTTTAACGAGTTCATGAATCTTACATCAGTGTCTGAAATTCAGGATAAAAGCACACTGAAAGTAATTTACTCTCCTATATTGTCAAATATTGAGCCCTCCATCACTTTGTACACAGTTGACTCATTTGATAAGACCTCAATTACTGGAAGCTCAGAGCCTCTAATCCCTGAATCATCAATAGCCTCATGCTGCAGTGATGATATGGTGTATACGTCAACCCCGCATCCATCCCCTGAAGCTCAGGCCTCACAATTGTTATCCTGGCCCACAGTTTTTGTGGTTCCTAAGCTCACCTACGAGGCTGAATTTGAGCTTCATCTAAAGAATGCAGAGTTTGAGACAACTGGTACATACTTCCAGCCTGGCCTAAAGCTGAAAGGAGTCATTCTTGATGGCCTAGCCCAAGAAATGATCAAATTCACAAAATATCCGAAAGACTATCAGTGTGAAGAGGTAGCTGCAGCGTTGACGAGGGCCCACCCTTGTTTGGGGCAGCTAGGATCCAAGACAGGATTTGGGGGGTGGAAACAGTCTCTTAAGTACAAAATGCAAAACTATCGTACAAAGCTTGGCCGTCTTGGACATCCTGAAATCCTTGTGAACTCCTTAAAGCACAAGAAAACAGGCCAAGGCAAAGCTGCAGCAAACATAAAAAAAACAAGAAAAGCTGAAATAAACTACATTCCTCTGCACCCAAAAGGCGAAACCACAGAAAGCTTGGAGAACGAGAGAATTGCCTTATTGTCAGAACTGAAAAAGCGTGACAATGAAGTGGTGATAAAAGCAAAAATGGAAAAAACCTTCTCCCACAGACGCCTTGAGATTGTGGAGCAAAGGCCTTTGATAGGGGACTTCAAATGCAGATGGCCTGCTCTGTTTCAGCAGAGTGAAGTAAGTAAATATTTGTATTTGTTGACAGTCTTTTATTATTGTCTTTTGTGATTCATGTCTACATCCTTGCATGGTTGTGATTCTAATAAACAAGTAACAATTGGTTGTATTGTGCTTGTTAATAATATTTTTAAGGTGAATGCGGAGTTTTTGAGGATCACAACATCACCACTTCAATCAAAGTTCATGTGGCAGCTGGACCACTTCTCAGACAAGCTCTTGAAGATCTTCAAGACCAAAGGAGGAGTGAAGGGGCACAAAATCAAGGAAGCCCTTGCAATATCAGATTCGGTTAGTATAAATGCAGAGAACCTCGTTTTTCACTGTATTGTTTTTGTCCATGCTGATATGAACACATTTAAGAAATTGTCTGCTTTTATAGTGTTTTTAAGGCAATAGCTTATTGTGGAAATGTAGGTGTAAGGAGTCCTGCTTAGGGACACACACGACAGATACAGCCCTCTACTTTGTAAACTACCTGCTCTGTTGCACATGCATTGTGCTTAATTGTCTTTGATTTATCGCCCCTGCTTTAGTTTGAAAACATCCACATCAAGAGGGGGTGCATCCTGCGAAGCATCGCGATCTACCTCAACGAGGATCCAGACTCTTTTTTTAAGGAGTATCAGGTATGTTTATCACAATATGTTTTCAATGTATTGGTTAACAGTGTTACCCACAATTATAACCACCATTACTTACATTTATAATAAGAAAATTATATGGCACACAACCCTATCCCTGCTTACATCTAAATATCTTATCACATATCATAAATACATGCAGAAATAAATAAATCTATACATTAATATAGGAATGAATATATGTAAGAATGAATAAATACAGAAATAAAAAAATAATAATAAATAGATACAGAAGTAATTTCATCGGGCAAGTGTTAAAATAAATATAGAAAAAAGTGAATTAATACATTTATACAGATATAAATACATCTATAAATTAACATAGGAATACAATTGATAAATACAAATGTGAATTAAAACATGAATATATCTGGAAATAAATACAAATAATAAATGAATGCTGAAATAAATATTTACATTTATATATAAATACATCTATAAATGAATAAATAAATATGGACATGAATACATATGTAAGAACTTATAAATAATTGAATAAATACATAAATAAAATAATAAATAAATGCTGAAATATATTAATCAATAGATTCATGTTTAAAAAGGTATGTGAATGCAGCAATTACTAAATTGTTAAAGGAATAATTACATAATCACATAAATCAAGGAAATAAATTATTAAAGAATAAATAATCAAATACATATCGAAATAAGTAGGTAAATGCATAATTAACTACAGGAATAACAACAAATTACATTATTAAGTAGGGACGTAAACAAATAATACCTGAATTAATAAATAAGATAACGTTGATAATCAAACAGAACATACAGGAATATATCTTTATAACTTATTTATGCAAACATTTTCTTACAAGCTTAATTTAGTTCTGTGTTGGAGGTCCTAACCTTCTCTGGTATCACTCGGACATTTTTGTCCAAATTGGTAATTTTTCACATCAGATTTGGCTATAATGATTTTGTGTTTTTTCTAGATACTTTTTGGAATTTCAATTTTTCTAATCGGTCTCGAATACACTGTACAAATTACCCTAATTGTCCATTTAAAAAATGTTCCCACACTTCCCAAAAAGTGTGGGGGAAAAATATTTAAATATAATATTTGTATCATATCATTTTATCATTCAAGTTTTTGAAAGTGGACATTTTTATCCTGAGTGGCCAAATAGGGTAGTACATTTGAGTGATACCAGAGGGTTAGTCTAAAACTGTTTTGATCAATTAGGAGAGCCACATAAGTAAATCTGCTTCTATAAAATGTAGTAATTCAGGTTTTAGTTAACACATATGTTGTATGTTTGTGTCTTTGTTCAGGCCTCTGCCTCTGAAGATGCCAAGAGGGACATGGCAAACACAGTCATGGGCATATACACACTTCAAAGAGATGTGGATGGGCAGCCAGAGGACGTGGGAATTGTCATCGAAGGCAATATAGTCATGGACAACTTGGGCAGCGTGATTGTGGGGTTTGTCATGCTATTGGGACTTATTTATGCCCTGGATTTGAGCTTTCCGGACAACCTCAAACACACCTTCGAGTTCATGCAGAAGGTAGTGATGAATCTGGATGGGCACAAGCTGAATGGTAAAATCGAAAGTCTGAAGATCAAGTTGTTCGATTGAAATGTGAAAAAGAAGTGACTCATGAGTTCATTGTTGTCATTTTATTCACGAGTTTCCTAGTCAGAGCAGATTGAGCCGTTATATCAATCATTTGTTCTGTGCTTTTCTGTATTTGTTTCAACACACTGTAACACTATTTCCATATGTTGGTGTTTGCAGTGCACTCTTTATGTTATGTGTTATTGTCCTGTTAGAAGAGCAGTGCATACCCCTGTTATATTGTATTCATTGTATTTGGCAAAGGGAGATTTGTAAGTTAATTATAGGAGTTCCATTTCTCTGCCATTTTAAAAATGGTATTATCTTTCAGAAATGTTTTTCATCTTTCAGTGTGAATTCATTCATTTTAAAAAGACTGTATTGAATGGAGGATTGTTTTGAATAATGTGAATTTAAAAATAAAAAAAACTAAACCATGTTTTCTATCATGTGTAACACATTTTTATTAAATTATATTTAACCTCATTATTTCATTTTCAATTAATTAAATAGGATTTAGGTGGACTAGCATTATTTAAATTCATAAAGGTAATGTTATCATTTTACTTAAACTCTATTTGAAAAATTTGAGTTGGACTAACTCATTTACATTATACTGCATGGATGCCATTAGTTTGAGTTTGTGCCACATATATTTATTGGATGGAAAACCTGCCAACAATAAAATTGAGTTAATCCAATGAGTTATTTCTTTGAGTGCATGCCTGACTTGTCTGCCGTGTTTTGGCTGAATTCTATTTCAAGTGACGTAGCTCTGGCTGTCGGCCAGAATCCGAAAACCATACATTATTATACTGTAAAACTAAGGCTTATTACTGTATATTGACTAATGAAAAAAAAAACAGCAACAGAAGACATAAATAAAACAAGGATAACTGTGACTTATTGTTGAGTAAATAACAGTGTGTGTTTTAAACGCGCACATGACCAATGAGGGCACGGGATAAGTTTGTGCACAGATGGAAGGCTGACAGGCAGGTAGGCCATCCAGTTATTTTAGCCGGGCCGGCTCAGATGATTGGTTGTGCTTTTTACAGCACTACGGCTTCCACAGATGACATTTTTTTATGGATTTTTTGTCAAAGCACTTAAGATATTCATTGCTATCGGGATGTTAAGAGCATTCCATGGAATATAACAAAAAGTGTATCTCGAGCCGGTTTCTCAAACTTACCTACCCCACCTTTAAGTTTTTTTTATTTGACGCTTTTTTTTACAGTTTTATGTTTACCTTAAAATTATAAAGAAATATCTTAAAGTCTTATAATAGTAATACACTTTTATATTACGAGTTACATATTTAATTACACATTATGTTACGTACATCTGCATGTATTTTCTGAAAGTGCAAAAATACTGTAAATATTATATAGTAAATTTACTCTAAAAAAAAGGAAATAAACGTTATTTGTTGTTATTGTAAAATACTTAAAATAATGTTTTGGGTTGTTAATTTATAGTTAATATCTATCATTTTACAGGATTTTGCAAGTTATTTAAAAAAAACATGATAATTACTATAAACATTTACAGTTATTTCCTGTAAAATTACGATCTTTTTTTATAGTGCAGACTATGCCCATCTCATCACAGCCACAGAGCCAATTCACATTGGGCCCCCTGGTGGCCCACTGGCAGTACACACAAGGCTAGGATGGGCCCTCCAAGGTCCAGCCAGCTTAATCTAAACCCAACATATCCTTCCCTTCACGCTGACCTGCCTTAAAAGTGAATTACTCAGGAACGTGGAAAGACTCTGGCAGATGGACACCTTGCCCTATGTTAATGAAAAGACAGCCACAAGGTCGAAACAGGACAAGATGGTTCTCGCTCTTCTTCATTCCAAGACAGAAAGAGTAGAAATAGATGGTGTAATGCGCTATGCCACTCCCCTGCTGAGAATTCCCAATATGCCTGCCTTTCAAGCCCCCAAGGAAGGCGTTCTGCCTCGTCTCTGTGCCACAGAAAGACGCTTGTCCAAAGACAGCTTTCTGAGAAATACCAGGAGGAACTGAATAAACTCACAGAGCTTGGCTATGTTAAAAGGATCCCCAACGAGTAGGTTGAGCAACCACAGGAAACCTGGTATTTTCCACATCACATAGTTGAACACAACAACAAACACAGGATTGTATTTGATTGCTCTTTTGAATACATGGGACAAACCCTAAACAAATGTCTTCTGCCTGGCCCAGCATTTGGTCCCATTGGAGTACTCCTCAGATTCCTCCAAAATGCCATTGCCATCTGCGGAGACATAAAGGCTATGTTCCATCAGGTACACCTTTTGAATGAGGACAAACCCCTGTTGCACTTCATTTGGAGAGGGATGCAGCTCGAACAGGATCCCAGTGTGTATGAATGGCAAGTTCTTCCATTTGGAACAACCTGCAGCCCATGCTGTGCCACCTTCGCAGTTCAAAAACATGTCAAAGATCATTGTGATGGAAACGAGGAGGTCCTTGAATCCGTCCAAAATTGTTTTTATGTCGATAACTGCCTCCAAAGCTTTCACTCCCCCCAAGAAGCAAAGTCCCTCATCGACAAAATGAAACCTCTGTTCTTAAATGGTGGTTTCGACATAAGACAGTGGGCTAGCAATGATCCATCCATTATAAAACATCTCCCTACAGAGTCCAAATCCAAGACTAATGAGTTGTGGCTCTCAGAGGGTGGAGACCCTAAAGAGCCTACATTGGGCCTTCAATGGAACTGCCTCAAAGACACGCTGGGCTATAAAAACAGAACAATCACTTACCACCAACCAACAATGAGAACTATCTACAAGGTCTTGGCATCTCAATATGACCCCTCAGGCTATCTGATCCCTTTCACTACCTGTGCAAAGATACTGGTGCAGGATCTATGGAAGCAGGATAGAGGACGGGATAATGTCATTAAGACAGAGAGCCTATTGAGGAAATGGCAATCATGGGAGTTGGAACTGCAAAATCTCCCTGACATCAACTTCCCTCGCTGCTATCTCCCCATCTTCACCAACACAACCACCGACCACCATGTGCATGTATTCTGCGACGCCTCTGAGTGTGTGTATGGAGCTGTTGCGTACCTTCAGACTCAGGATGAACATGATCAAACTCATGTCAGTTTCATAATGGTCAGATCTTGTGTTGCCCCTAAGCACCAGCTATCTATCCAACGCCTTGAACTATGTGCAGCCCAACTGGTGCCCAACTGGCCAACCTCCTTAGTACCAAACTCACTATTCCTCTACAGTCGGTGACCTTCTGGACAGATTCAACCACTGTCCTATCATGGATAACATTCAACTCTTGCCGTTACAAGGTGTTTGTTGGCACAAGAATAGACTGGCACAAAGAACTGGAGGTATATTGACTGAAAGAATAATCCAGCTGAGGACATAACTAGGGGAAAAACTCTAGTCGAAATTTCACAGTAAAAGTTGGCCGCCGCACAGAGAAAAGATGGGGCTTGCTTTTCAAATGCTTAACAACACGCTGCATACATATTGAGCTGCTTGACAGTATGGACACAGATACATTCTTAATGGCCTTCAGAAGATTTGTCTCACGCAGAGGTAAACCCCATGAACTATTGTCTGACTGCGGTACTAATTTCAAACGGGGTGATGCAGAGCTACAAAATGCCTTCCAGGCCATGGCACCGGACTTGAAGCAGCAATTAGCCAGCACACAAGTTCACTTCCGGTTTAATCCTCCATGTTCCCCACATTTCGGCGGTAGCTGGGAAAGAGAAATAAGATCAATAAAACAGGCCCTTCATGTTGCATTAGGGAACCAACCAACCACAGAAACAGTCCTTCACACCGTCCTGATTGAAGTGGAAGGTATTCTGAATTCAAAACCCCTTGGATATATCTCTTCTGACCTTGCTGATCCAGACCCAGTTACACCAAATATGTTGCTGATGGGGCGGCCCGACTGATGGTGGTTGACCCCCAATATCCTCGAGCATCATGGCCTATTGGAAGGATAAGTGAAACCTACCCTGGAAAAGATGGAAACGTCCGCAGTGCGAAGGTCATTATTCAAGGTCGGGAATATGTTCAAGGTTCAAGGTTCTTTATTGTCAAACTAACATAGCTACAGAGTAATTATGTCGTTGAAAATCTTAGGTCACAGGCTTCTCCAACAATGCAACACAATAATACAGATAAGGAGACAATATTATATTAAAAGTAATACAAAAAGAAAAATGTTTTTTCTTTAAAAAAAAGTGAGAGAAAAAATAGTGGAATAGTGCAATACGAGTCTATATACAAGTTATTGGAATGATATATTAGATAATAGATAAATAATTACTAAGTAGCAGATGAATGTTATGAAATTGTTTCAGCAGTTCAGTTGTTTAACAGTCTTATTGCTTGTGGGATGAAGCTGTCACTGAATCTGTCAGGATGCTGCAGTAACGCCTGCCAGACGGCAGCAGACTGAACAGTTTGTGGCTGGGGTGATGGGGGTCTTTTATAATCCTGAGGGATTTCTTCCCGAGCCGCTGGGAGTAAAGGTCCTCCATGGAAGGCAGCTCCGTCCTGGTGATGTTCTCTGCAGTTTTCACCACCCTCTGTAAAGCCTTACGATTAAGGGCGGTGCAGCTGCCGTACCAGGCCGTGATGCAGCCCGTCAGGATACTCTCTATGGTGCACCTGTAGAAGTTGCAGAGTATCCTGGAATCCATTTTGAACCTCCTCAACCTGCGGAGGAAGAAGAGCCACTGTCGAGCTTTCTTGGTGATGGTGGTGGTGTGAAGAGTCCATCTCAGGTCCTCAGTGATGTGGACCCCAAGGAACCTGAAGCTGCTGACTCTCTCCACCGTAGTCCCATTGATGGTGATGGGGGCGTGACCCTCTCCCTGCTGCTTCCTGTAATCCACAATCAGCCCCATTTTTTTTGCTGACGTTGAGATGGAGGTTGTTATCCTGGCGCCAATATATCAGTTTTCCGACCTCCTCTGAGCTGTGTGTGGCCACGCAGTCGTGAGTGAACAGGGAGTAGAGGAGAGGGCTGAGCACGCAGCCTTGAGGGGCACCAGTGTTGAGGATCAGGGTGGAGGATGTGATGTTTCCCACCCGCACTGCCTGGGGTCTGCCCGTCAGGAAGTTCAGGATCCAGTCACAGAGGGCGCTGTTGAGCCCGAGGTCTCTGAGCTTGATGGCCAGCTCACATCTGGTTCAGGTGTGAGAGGGCAGTGTGGATGGTGTGGGCTATGGCGTCATCTGTGGACCTGTTTGCTCTGTAGGCAAACTGCAGGGGGTCCAGAGAGTCAGGGAGGGAGGAGGTGATGAATGATTTGACTAACGGCTCAAAGCACTTCATTATGATGGAGGTGAGTGCCACTGGACGGTAGTCGTTGAGGCTGGTGATTATTGTTTTTTTGGGGACAGGAACGATGGTGGAGTGTTTGAAGCATGTGGGGACTACAGACTGCAGCAGAAACCCGTTGAAGATGTCTGTGAACACCTCTGCCAGCTGAACTGCACACACCCTGAGAACACGGCCAGGGATGCCATCAGGTCCAGGAGCCTTGTGTGGGTTAAACCTTTTAAAGGATTTGCACACATCTGCCCTGTTTAAAACAAAAGGGCAGGGCTCCTGGTCCTTCTGTGCCTCCACAGCCTGGCTGCTCTCAAAACGTGCAAAAAAGCTATTCAGCTCATCTGTGAGAGATGCGCACGCAGACACCCCCTGC